ACGACCACGACGTGGACAAGCAGAGTAATTTACGGGAACACGATCGTCCAGAAAACGAACGACTCCGCCGAAGTGTGACAAAAATACAAGATTTAACCCATATATTTTTTTTCTTTATGGGAGAGAAAGTTACACGAAAGGTGTGGATAACACTTGAAATGACAAAAAAGATGATAAATTCAGGGTGGATAGGTGATGGCAGAAGAGATGCAATATTTGTGACATAAAACGTTGCACAGATGTAATTTCGAAATTTTACACTTGTGAAAATTAGGTTGGATTTTAGAAGATACCGTTGTTTCCCAATACAATTTACACTCTCGCTCGCGTACTTGTTAGTTTCAAAGGAAGTATTGATTCTGATTGGTGTTCAGTTAATATCTTAAATCTCAATGTGACTCAAGTAAAGTTAAAAAGTCAAGGATACGAGGGAAAGTTGTTCTCTGAAAGTGAACTGGAAGCCTTGAAACGGTTACATCTTGAAAGTATCCAGAATCTGTATCCTTACGGTGTTCACAAAGTTATCAAACTTGCGCTTGAACTGTTTTTCTCCAAATTCCCTGAGTTTCTTCGAGTCTTTCAAAATTTCACTTATCAAGTCAAAGTCAAAGTATTTTTTCCTTTTTTTTTAAGTGATATGAGATAAGAAAACCTAAAAAAATGAGGCTATATCTTTAAATATTATTACGAGTTCTTTCTCTTAAACGCATCGTACAATCGAATGTATTAAAGCGTAACTCGTGGTTACAAGTCACCCGAGATTTCAGCTCGAAATATTCATTACCGTTCTTTCTTTATTACAGCTTATTATAGCTGGCATTATGGCTGAAGAGCCAAGGATATGAGTGAAGGTGTTCTCAAAGACACAACGCTTAAATTGGTTGCAAGTTAAACTTCGATTCTTCGATAAATCTCCTTGAGAACTTTTCTGAACAAATCTTACTATTTTCTAACCTAGAAATCTATAACTTTATGAAAAATTATAACGCTCTCGTATTTATGCATTTTTGTATTTTGGAAATGAAGCCGTAGATAGAATTTCTTTTCCTATTTCGACTCTAGTTTGTTCCTCGAAGCCTGAGACACCCGGTATAATCAATCGTAATGTCTTTGTCGATAAGCAAAGAATATTCTGATTACGTGACAGAATTGTTTTCCATTACAAAACACACGCAAAAGAATAAAACAGTCTGGTCTCGTAGAAAGCTCGAGCAATAAACGGTGACGAACATATGGAAATATTTACGGCGATATCGTGTTACCATTTGCTATCGATACGTCGCAGAGCGGCTGTACCGTTTATGTATCGTTTTACTTCGGATTAAGGCCTCGTTGATTTTCTTGCGTGTAATATTATTTCAACGATGTTCACGCCGTGGTAGGTTAACGATTACCGGAACTTCAATCCCTCATCTCCCGGAGACGTTCCCATAATATTTCACAAACACATGCCTGACATGTGTCACTGTTGCTTCTGCAAGTGTAATAAAAAAATAAGTCTCAAAGACGAGAACTTTTAACACGTGATTCGAATGTATTTTCGATTAGTAAATGAAAATTCCAGTTTTGAAAAAAAAAAAATTTTAATTGCAAATAAGTATACGTAAAGAATTTCAAACTTTTATACGTTGCGTAATAAGTTTCTAAAGATCTTCGAAATGACCGTACCTTCGGCCACGATAGCAATGCAAAAATATGTATTTACATTACAACGTCCACTTTTTTGCCTATTCAAATAGGCTGTTTTAATCTACACGTGATAACATTACCAAAAAAACATTTCTAAAGGTTATCTTAAAATTATCTCCTTCAAGCCATGCCTTCGCTACTTTTCTCCGTTGAAGTTTGTTTATAATTTACCTTTAGTTGAATCTGAAAATTTTATATCGATACCGCAATAATAATATTCAATTTTCAATAATTTGCCGACTGATTATTAGAACGTTACTCGAGTATTACGTAGTTTATGTTGATTGCTGTTCGGTTTGTATGAAGTATAAGAATAGAGTACAAGTTTTACCAGGAATTCGTAAAGTCAGGTATTTTAGGAGAGTATTCAAGTTCATGGTCACTTGAGGCTCATAAAACTGTAGGTCAATGTGTTTCCCTTCGTATCAGTTAAAAGAATGTATGAAAGATATTTTCTATTTCATAAGATAACGTAAAATTGTAAGATACATAATTATGTAGTTGTTTTCTGTTCTAATCTTACAACAAAAATAAACTGCTACAATTAAATCTTATCGTCTTTGCAAAACTGAATGAGAAATAAACATTTACTACTTTATCTTAATAAACAAATAAATTTCAGGAAGTATCAAGTGTTACAATTGTTTGCAGCATAAAATGAATTCTTTAATATTTAAACATTTAAATATCAAGAAATAAAAAATTGTAATGTACCGAGTAAAAACAATTCGATTGTACGAAGAAATTTTGATGCGCGACTGCTCATAAGGACGTTCATTATTTCTACACCAACCTAATATTTCACAACCAGCGCGGTCCTAAACGAGCGACGGCAGACGACGAGAGATGTTGGTATTTCCGTTTTGTAGGGTAAAATGCAGTCCTTTCAGGGACCGTGCATCTGGTCACGTACACAATCGCAGCGGGCACCCTTCTTGAAACGACAGAATAAAAGCGTAAAATAAGAGAGACAGACAGAAGGAAAGAGAGAAGGAAAGAGGGAGAGAAGGAGAGAGAGAGAGAGAGAAGCTGGTGGACTGCATGAAATTGCTGATATTGATTGCATAATTCAAGCTATGTTGCTCTCCCTATAGAGTTTCGCACGCAAATTTATGTCTTCTTAATTGAGTCTAAACAAATGTGGAATGTAGATTGTAATATTAAAGAGACTGAAAGAAATGGAATAATTGTAGGTGTAATAAGTGAAATAAAATGGAATAAGTATCACATTGAAATTATGTACTTTCAATGATAGATACTACTGCCAAATTGATAATTAAATATTTCATTTTCCATTTAGAAAACAGCAATTACAATTTACAATACTATCAGTTAGACTTTGCAAGTATTTTCTAATAGTACTAACAGCTTTAACATAAATGTTAAACATTTGTTAAATTTTACTTTTCTATATTCTTGTGCTTCCTCTGCTATGTTTGTAAATATTAAGTAATACTTAATAAACGCAGTTTGCCTTGGCCTACTTACATTTCATTCAATGTTAAAAGTAGGGAGAATAACACTATCTACCGATAACCTTAAAAATTCCTTGGACTTTCTCTAATGTATTTACTAATTTCACGTAAACTATAGTTCTAAAAACAATTTTATTGTCATTCAGGGCACAAATAGTACTCATTCAAGTCGTACGCACAATCCTCTTGTAAACCTCAGCATTCAATTGAATTTAACTATCGAATTAAACCGATTTACTTTCATTATGATATTTGAGGTGAACGATAGACATGGTAAAAGAGAAACCAGTAAACAGAATAACGGTTGTGGGTAATGACGGTTCTAAGTAGTTTTAAATTAACGTGATGAAAGTTCCTAGTTAGAACATTACTGGAAACTTCTACGATCCCCAGATTATTGTTCTATTGTTTTATCTTTTACTACAATTATCATAGAACGATATTTAAATTTGTTGATATCTCTTAATTATGCGTAAATAGTTTCACATAATTTTATCTTAATAATAATTCAAACAAAATACCTCATTGTAGCGCAATATTTTACCGCCAAATGCTTCACGTTCGAAATCGTGTTGTCACATGTGTTTACTGTTTCCATGGTAATCTACCAAAACAGAAAAAATATAGAAAAAATAAAGGATAAAATAAAATCAATGTAGTAACCTTCTTATAAGATTTTTTGACGTATCACGGTGCAAATATTCATTCAAGATGATTCAAGCGTTCGTTTAACTAAATCTGTTAGAAATTAGCGAACAGAATCCTATGAGCAACGGTAGCCATCGTTGGACGCAGAGCATACACTATGGAAACAGGGTATACAGTGTACCATGGTATAAACGGGGGAACTTGAAGCAGCCGTCGGTCCCCCACCGTTTCGATCCCCACCTCCTGGGCCCTCTCTACTCGTTTCTACTCCGGCAGTCCCCCTAACAGATCGAAAGAGTTTCCCTCCCGCCCCTCGGCTGAACAACAAGCCACTGACTTCTCTCGTCAGTCGACGTTGAAGACTGCTACGTACGTACGTGTGTATGCCATCACAATTCGGTGTTGGCTGCTCACAACCCGCTCATCGTACGATCTATCTGCACGATATCGAGAGAAAAAGTTCGGCGTGAACGAGAGAGAGAGAAGGAGAAGAAAGGAGAAGGAGGAGAAAGAGGGAGCTCGCAAGTACGCAGCACGCCGGGAGAATTGAAGGTGTTGGCTGTGTTTCTTGACGAAATCCTCAGCCCGACGAAGGAAATAGCAAGATTGACAGTGAGTGTCGTTGCTGCGACACGAAGCGGAGAATTAAATCGGTGGCACGGCAACGCGCAATTCCGCGAAGTTCCAGAAAACCAGACAAAACGAGCGAGCGCGCGCTTGGGTTGCACGTAGCTCTACCTATCAACAGTAACCACAAAACGATCGCGTAGAGAAAAAGATACACGATCGATTCTGAAAACACAGTCGGCCTCCGACGACGACACACGCAGTTATTTCTTTACCGTGTTCCACAATTACTCGACGTTCGAATCGATCCATTGCCAACGAAAGATGCCGACAGGACACGTGTGTTTCGCCGACGCGTCCCATAGTTAAATTCTTGCCGGAGGATAGTCGTGTGTGCATAAGACCTAGAGTGGTCGTTCGCGATCTCGTTCAACGTGGTTCGGTGACCGATCGGTCGTGCGCGCGCGCTCGCTCTCTTCGCCCCAAAGAAAGAACCAGAAGCGGCGACCAGAGAGAGGAGTAGGGTGGAAGAAAAGGAAGAAGGAGCCGAAGGAGGAGGAGAAACAGAAGAAAAGGAAAAGAGAGAGGCACGCCGCGTGGACATAGCCGTACGATCGTGTGTCTGTTTCGTTTCGTTTTACCGCTTTTCGAGCTTGAGCGCTGTAGATGAGGACTCGCGGGAAGTTTTAATTGATACGATTTTCCCCGATACATCTTTCTTTTTTTCTCTCTTTCTTTCTCTCTTTTTTTCCGTTCGTCGTAAACGATTCCGCCACGTGGGAATAACAGTGCGAAGGAGGAGAAAACGTACCAGAGAATCACACAACACAACACGCTGTTCATCGGGACAAAACAACCATGTACAAGCTACTAGGGGATCTCGGTAGGTACCTGAAATGGCAGGAAATCACGACGGATTCGATGGCGTTTCGGTTGCACAACCATTTCACAACGGTGCTGCTTTTCACGTGTTCGGTGGTGATCACGGCCACCCAATATGTTGGTAACCCGATCTCCTGTATCGTTCAGGGTTTACCCACGCACCCTATCAACACTTACTGCTGGATTACTTCTACGTTTACTATGCCGGACGCATTTAATCGACAGGTACGCAATTTCGTTCAACGATTGTGCCCTTAATTTCTCAACAGATCTACATTTTAATTGCGTTCATTCTTCAAACCACTTGTTTGTAACCTTCGGATCTTTGATGGTCAAACGTGCAATACGAATCGTTGATAACTGTAGGAAAATGTTGTATCGACCCGATTGAAGTATAAAAATAGTTCGAATATTTGACTACATTGTAAGGAACATATAGTGGCATATGCAGCGATTTTTTATTTTGCTGTAAAACCTTTGAAATTGACAGTTTGATTATAAGCATTTTTTAATAATTATTGGAAACTTCAAAGAATTTTTAACGTAGATTGTCAATTGCGCAGTGTTGACTTTTTTAATGGGAATATTTGTACTCTTGAAAGCTTTTAAGTTAATTATCGCAATTCAACACTTCCTTTACTGTAGATACAGATATACATTATCTTTTAATTACTACATTCGTGATATTAATTAAAATGTTTATACAGTTATTGTCGTTAAATGTTTAGATTTTATTATCCCGCATTTAAACATGGTAATAGAATATAATTACAGCACCTGTAGCGTGCGCGGTCACGAACAATAACCTATAGAGATACGATTTGCTCTTTGAAAGATTTCTTACGTACACTTTACATAATAAATATTTTCGACAACATTTTCTCAATAAATTTATCAATAGAAACGGTGACCAATACCAACCTGAATCACAGAGTCGTTAGAAAAATCACGAAGTAAATCTCGTTTACGTTTCTTTATAAATTCAAGGCGCATGCGCGGGAAGTAAATAATATATGCGTAATAATGCGTTAATATACAAAACGTGTGAAACAGGTTGACTAGAAGATTAAATAAAAAGAAAAATTTATACTGTCAAGTTACTAGACATTTTTTTTTCACTTTAAAATCTAGAAATAGCTTAATGTTTGCCATGTATTACTAACGAACTACTTAAAGGTCGTTGTCTTTTTTTCATCTTTCATACATATAGTTTTAATTACACTTCCTGATACAGCCTGTACAGAAAATTTAGTGCATCATACAGTCAAGAAAAAGATATAAATTTAATCAACTGCACCTGTGATATTTCGTTATTATATTATTGTTGTCAGAGCGTTCGTTTCGTTGGCAGGTTGGTCTAGAAGTGGCGCATCCAGGAGTAGCGAACGACTTCGGCGACGTGGACGCGAGGAAATACTACACTTACTACCAGTGGGTGTGCTTCGTGTTGTTCTTCCAGGTAAAGGCTCGTTTATCAGTAATCTTGTACGCGCGACAGATAAAGTCCAGCGAACAGCTGCGCGCCTTCTCGGTTTAGGTTTTTCTTTACCTCCGCTAGTGTTCTCACATTTCCCGTATTGGATATCCGAAACTGGTTCGCGAGAGCGAATGCACGAGCGCTAAAGATTGACCGGTTAGAACTTCACCATTGCTCTACCGATAATATGTCTTTTGCAACGTTATCAGTTTTTGTTATTCTTAACCGCGAAACCGCTTCGATAATTCGTTGTAGCCTATTTCATATTTCTTGTTTTAAAAAGGAATAAAGTGTTGTTAGATGAATTTGTAAATGTGGTAAATTAATTCTTTACCGAATATTTATGGTATTCCGATTTTTGGAAAAAATAATAAGTAAATGTGGGCTGTTGGCTAAATAAATAATTCTACAATTGTATGTAGCTAGTATAGACAAAATTTCAACATAATATATTAATCAATCTATTATTCGTGGTTTTTCACAGGCAGTACTATGCTATATACCACAATGGCTGTGGAATATGTGGGAGGGCGGTTTGATCGGCTCGCTGGTTATGGGTATGAATCACTGTCTCGAATGCAAGGATAGCATTGAAGCGAAAACAAACATGTTGATGGATTATTTAATACTATACAAAAAGGTAAGCTTTAAATTTTAATTGAATCAAAAGTTACAATGTTCAGTAATGATATTTTTTTTTACAAATATAAGTACGTTATCTGCAAAGTTTATTAATTTATTTCTTACTATCTATAAGCTTTTGATTAAATTCTTTCTTCAGTTATTTAAAACGATACTTTTCTCCGCACAACTAAAAATCTTAACTCCGGAGAAAGAGCGGAAGGGGGATGAAGGCTGAGACGGTTCGGTTAGATTCAATTTGCCTTCATTGAGTCCAATTTATGCCAATTCACCGATTGCTTGTTCTTTCAGACTCACAGCACGTACGTGTACCGATACTTCGCCTGCGAGGTCCTCTGTCTAGTTAACATCTTCGCTCAACTGTACCTGATGAATCGGTTCTTCGATGGCGAATTCCTCAGCTACGGTCTACGGGTGCTGCAATTCTCCGATATTCCTCAGGAGGAACGCATCGATCCTATGGTCTATGTGTTTCCACGGGTCACTAAGTGTATCTTTCACAAATATGGTGCATCAGGAACCATACAGAGGCACGATTCCCTTTGCATACTCCCATTAAACATCGTCAACGAGAAGACGTACATTTTCATCTGGTTCTGGTTCACGATCCTGTCGATTTTATTGCTGGGTCTAGTAGTATACCGAGCTGCCATCATTTTTGCACCAGTAGTGAGACCAAGACTGCTTCATCTTTCATCAAGATTCGTCAACAAAGACACTTGCAATAGTATCTGCAAGAAGGTTGAACTCGGCGATTGGTGGATCCTTTACGTTCTGTCCACCAACATGGATGCGAAGATCTACTGCAGCTTCCTAGAGGAATTCACAAAGAGAATGAGCGATACGTTAACGATCTCTGCTTAAAACACATTTCGCTATTTTATAAATAAGGTTTAAAAAAGACACCGATTAAAAGACCGCGGATATATGGACTGATTCGTTGATTGAAGCTCGTTTACTTCCCGGATTCTCTCTTTCGTAAGTTCAAGAAACTAGAGAGCTAAAGGAGAAATGATTAAACGTTACAAGAATTCGTAGAGGTATTTTCCTAGCTAGCGCCCAGAGGGAACAATTGCTATATATGACTGACGTAGTAGACACACGATGACACTCTGATACCGCGTTAAAGTGACCAATTTAGGATCTCTGTGTGCGTGCGCAAATGGATGTTGGGTGCGATAGCTGCGTATGTGTACGCGCGCGTGAATCATTACAATGGTTATGTCCCGAGAGAGAATTGTTCTGTATCTCTTCATTTAGTGTTCGTTCTCCAAAGCAACAAAGCCATTTTATTTCTCGTGAGGTATTGCTCAAGGGAAATCGTTTCTGTAGCGTTAAAGAAATTGTTGATCGCGAGGATTCATCTTTTACCGTGCAACGTTTTTCTACTATGAGATCATCCTAGATTTTTTATGCATCGATCGCGATCGTAACAACATACATTGTGTTGTAAGAGATGCTATTACTATACATTCCTGTATAATGTATTCAAATCAGCTCGTTTAATTTTTTCCTCCCTTTCATGTCGATAAAGAAGTTTTGTTTTGTTTTAAGATGATACTATATTAAATTTTTTGAACATATATTTCAGGATAAAATATGTTGAGAATAAGTTTCCAATATAACAAAGCAATTATTTTGCTGGGAAAAACGGTAACAACCTTAGCCAATTTAAGTAACATTTTATTGGATAAAGTGGGTATTATGTAATTTTTTAATAGCTCTTAAAGAAAATGCAATATTTGTTTGGCCTCTAAGAAATTGTTGCTCTGAAGTTTGTTATAATTTTGTCCAGCATTGTAAATGATACGTGTTTTATAAGCATTATGTATTGTATGTTGAGCATCTACCTACTTGTGTTCCATCGACAATTAAACATTGTCGAAGAAGACTTGTATTACGTATTGCGAACCTTTTAGTAGCGTATTATACTTTCTACTATAATCAATTTCTGGTGTACGTATCAATATATGAGAATGTGCATACATTAAACAAATTGTATCATATATTATACGTATTTCCTATTGGAAAATAAGAACTGAGAAACAAACAAAGCAGACGCATTTTAATAGTTTAATATGTGATCAATGAGAGAATTAAAGATTGACAAAGATGGAAAGCGTTTTATACACTTGCACAATTTATGTTTAAATGCTGCAGCGATATTATATCTAATGAAATATTCTTATAATTGATGCACCTATTGTTGTTCATTATTTTCAATGTGTATCATCATGTTTTAAAGGAGTAAGTTTCAGTTTATTACTCTTTGTGATAAATTTATGGAACCTTTAGTTATACTCCTGTCTCAATTTTGACCTTGTATTTAGAATTTATTTATTAAGGAAAGCTGAGGCATAAACTTTTTTTTCTCAAAGTTTCAAGGATACCTTCTCATCATTAGGAAATAGCATTTCGATAGAGGAATAACATTGAGCATACCTTAATCTGTTGATATTATGCTTTTCCTTTAGTATTATAATAATATTTAAAAGAATAAAAGTTTCCTACTATTTAAAAATAAACCAACATTCTTGATTTAAATACTATGGATCAAAGGCGACTGTAATAAAACAAATATATTTCGCCGACATTTCGTGATTAAGGGAGGTTTTATGCATATCGTAAACATAAGGGTGGATCAAGTTTTGGGATTATTTTTCCTTTATTCCGTTGACTTTTACTTGTACATACATTGAAATAATCTTAATGTAAAATTAATAAAGCTTCAGAAAGATAGGGATAATATGAATGTTATAATTAGATATACTTTTGTAGTAATATTTAGCCATTAACAATGTGATGCAAAAGAGATTTAAATAAAAAACATCTAAACTCGGAGATTTTTAATCGAAATAAAATCATGGTTTTAAAATCGTACCAAGTTACCTTGTTTTTTCAAATTTTCTTGTCGATATTCTAATGAAAAAAGGGGGCAAATTGTAATTACATATTAAATAAATGTTCTTTTATAAGTCAACTTATACTTTAGTCCAATCGACAAGCAACATTTTCTTTAAAGAGAATAATAATTCATTGTTTACGTAAATACTGCAAAATTTGTGTTCATAGCATTGTCTTTCGTGTATTTTTACGTAACACTGCAAAAGGAAAAAACAGTAGTTTTGATCATAACAATAAACAAGTTAAAAACGCGGTGAATTAATACTTTTGTCCAGCGGTGTAGTTTCTTATTTCGATTCGACTTGTACAAGAGCTTGAAGTAGTCTCTTGATGCATGTGTTCCGAACGGATAAAATTAGATTAAATTGTCTACGATGGAGGTAGATTTGATTAATAACAAGACTTCACGCTAGAACCAGACGCGCTTAGTTTTCGAATAAGACTTGGTATTTCCAAATCGACTATGTTCGATAGTGCTAGAACCAAATCGATCTTTGGTTTCAAACATTTGTCTTATACATAGTCTCTATTTATAAAACCTTTCAAACAGTTTTACTTTTTGAAAATTTCAAACAAAACTTATTATAAACAATACCGAGTTATTGAGTTATTTTATTATGCAATAAAATAACTTAATTCACCCTAGCCAAAAAGTGACAATGTTCATTAGGTCGCGGGTAGAAATAACGTAATCGCGAAATAATGTAAGTGAGGAGAATTACTGCACTTTAAATTTTCGCGGGTGACGTTTGACATTAATGTAGTGCGCATCATACTGCGCATAATAGGGTGTCGTTGCACCTTAGTAACGCAATAATATGGGAGAAAGAGCCTAAGCTTCACCGTTTATTTTCGACATGCTTATCCAAAAACAGAAGTAAATATAAAAAGAATCGATTGTTTTTAAAGTTCTACATGTAATAACTTCCTTGAACGTTAATTATTCAGTCTGTTACATTACTTCGTGAAATTATGAATTGAAGGGTTTGGAAGATGAAGGTGTTACGTAACATTTTTGTGAATATTAAGTTATTATGATAATTGAAAGTGGTATGAGGTGTTTTTTCATAAAACACTTCATTTCACTTTGTCCTATCGCAGAATAAGGAATACAGAGGAATAAAGGACGTCTATTACATAAGCAAGTGATTTGTTTAGTGACGAGGGTATTACGTCGTACAAAACATATGTATGTTTTTGGCGGGATTTAAGATTAAGGAAGAATAAAGCGCAAGAATAGTTATGATATATTAAGGAATACTGAAAATAGTAATAGTAATCACTATGCAATCACTATTCAATAAAAACTGTAGGCAGAATAACTTTAAACTCACTTTACTCGAAATTGCGTATTTGTTACGTAACATCTTCGTCCCATGAACCCTTCAATACTTTCTCTGTTTTTATGTTATTTATCACCGTAACCTTTGTGTACTCCCCCGTTCTATTCGTGCAGAGAAATATTTGTGGAAGCTTTCAACGCGTATTGTTGGATACACAATACTTATTTCGTGACCAGTGCAGCTATGCTTGGTAGCAGAGGTGTTGACATTGCGGCGTCTGGGTTCGTGTCATCCGACGGAAATCGGTCTCGTCGGCAAGGAAACGATCTATCTTTCGGGAAGAAGTCAACAAAAAACGTGAAATATTATCAGTGGGTCCGTGTTCGTTTTGATATTGCAAGTGAGTGTATATATTTTACTACTTATATTTAGATCACGTGTTTAATATAAGTCTAAATGATCCATCTTTGTGGATCGTGTTGCTGGATTAGTGTAGATACACGGATCAACACGTTTTCCTAATGAAACACGTGTTCCCAGTGAAAGTACACAAATAGAACTCGCCAGTGCGGATATGATTGATTTGTATTTAAGGAGTCGGAAAACGGGAAGTGAGCTGATTGACGTGTATGTGTTTCCGACCGTTTTACCCGAGCATAACATCAAATTGATTATTTTGTTTTTCACGATACCCACTGTCTTTGCATGCCATTTTCTACGTTCGATTGGCGATAAGAGTTGGAAAATTTCGAAGTTGTTCGAACTTTTCGCAATGTATCTCGGAAATAAAGCAATTCTACCGAAACATTTATTAACCTATAATTTTATGATATTCTTTCATTACTACGATGAAAGAACTACACTCGCAATAATGTTTGCTCCCTTATTTTTAGAACATCTTGTATATGCAATATGAGTGTTGGTTTTCAGTTGGATTAGAAGGATGTGCCACCATGGAGTCATGTTTACACCGTTTCAACATCTATCGCTAAGCTTTCATTACTTTTTTTTTCGAATTCCAGACTGTTCTCGATCTTCGTTACGCTAATGAATACAATCAATGCAAAATTTTATCTTTAATGAAGAAAGCTTTATCGCGTGTTTAGTACCGTTCACAGGAAGTCATTTATTCTGCATTTAGAAAACAAAGTAAGACCGTAACTACCGTAGTTTACAGTGGAAAACTAGGTAGAGTACGTACATATTCGATACACGAACAACGGAATTTAGTAAAACGTGAAGTGATACATTTTCATCGCGAAAATGTTTGAAAACAATATTACAATAAAGATAAAAAAGTTAATAGAACGAATAGACTATATCATTGGCAACTTTTTATTCCTGTGAATCTTAACGAATCTTCATTTTTCTTACGAAACCATACAATCCTTCTATCTTTTATCTTTATAATTAAAACGAATTTAACTTTCGAAAATGGCGGATATATATTTTTATCCAGTAGAGTATGCAATTAACGTTACATCGTGTACCGTTCGATTGAAAATGTTACAAAGGAGTTTTCAACCGGTAATATTACATTGAAAATGTTTCGAGATATTTTAAGATATTTTGTCAGTGTACATATGTATACGCGTTGTATCCATCCATAAGATATCAGGCTGCAAGTGTTCCCTTCGTGGCCGAAATGTAAGCAGTTAGCACGTGGACCTCTGCTGCCACTAGAAATTTTCTCGTAGATCATTTGGCCACGTGGTATCTGTCTAAATTAACCTTAAGAACGTTCCAACGTCAAATTATCCAGCATCGAAGTCTCTCCTCGAATTTTTCGTCCCTTGCGCTCCTCTTGAGCGAACCCATCAGACCGTAACGATATTACAGCGACATGAAACACTATTTAGAGAAGCGTAACGATTGTTTTCTTTGAAAATACTAGGAAAGCTGTGAAAAATATTAAAATATCCCTGCACGAACGACAATTACACTTTGGACGTTACGAGACACTCTCTAACTTTTTAGTTCTTTAATATTTCCTCGTAATTCTCCTTTCTTTGAACTAACATATTCATTACGATGATGTTATAATACTTTAGTTAATGTTGATTTACTTAATTTAGTTA